GCCACCTGACAATGCTTCTCATTAACAGATACCCTAAGAGCTGTAAAGCCCAGGGTAAGACAGGGCTCCCGTCACATCAGCTATGTCACAACTGATTTTATTATTAAGGAAACCCTGGCAATATTGTGGCCACAGTTCCACTGTCCATTAGTAGCCTAATGCCATACAATAAAATGACCTGGAACTTTACCTTTCCAATTCTAACCTGACAATGCTTCTCATTAACAGATACCCTAAGAGCTGTAAAGCCCAGGGTAAGACAGGGCTCCCGTCACATCAGCTATGTCACAACTGATTTTATTATTAAGGAAACCCTGGCAATATTGTGGCCACAGTTCCACTGTCCATTAGTAGCCTAATGCCATACAATAAAATGACCTGGAACTTTACCTTTCCAATTCTAACTGACCACAGATCAAACTGCTGCTGGATGTTATCAATGCAGACCTCCTTTCCAAAAGGATCCCCACATAACATTTTCAGTAGAGTTACCATCCTGCTCTAGCAGGTGGCTTCTGGGCCACCCCGTTTAATACAGCTTTCTTAAGCAGTGTAGAGGGGGGGAAGTTACTTAGAGGACCAGCTTGCAACATCAGAGCCAGATTTAAATTTTACTTTGGGCCTACTCAAGTGGGACAGAATCAGTGGAGTGCTGGAAGTGCCAGGCCATCTTCCCCCACCCTCCACAAACTGCCTAGAGATGGGTTACTCTCCAGAGCAAATCCATCATTCCCATCCTCACCAGGTACAATTCAGAGTCCTTTCTGCCCCCTTACCTGGCATTCCAGGCTCCACCCAGGCTGTTGGAGCAGTGGGGGCGGAAGGTCCTGCAGTAGGAGGGCCAGGGTAGGGGGGAGGAGGAGCCATATACAGGGGATTCATCTCAGGAGGAGGTGGGTACATGCCTGTAGAAAGGAGACAACAAAACAACAGGACACACAGCAAGGACAGTTGACAGGCCTGTTGCTTCTGTCTAGCACCGATATACATAGACCAAGGCAAGACACCCAAGCTTAAACAGCAGCAGCTCCACAGTAGGCTTTAATATTTCTATTGCGCCTTTGAGCCTAGAGGGCTTTGCAGACAACACACACGCTCAAAATATGGCAACATCAGAGCCCTCTGCCAGAAGATGTTACCCAGTCAAGGATATCGTATCCTTTATTTCCTGTCTCCCTAGAGTTCCAGTG